AAGCCAAGTTCATGAAGCAGAGCCGTCCTGACCCCATCGCCATGTTATTAGATTATGACATAAACAACCAATCATTTTTTAGTACGTGACTGAAAATTTATTTATTTTTTTCTGCAACAGTTAGCTTACCCCGACTACTACATTCAATGTGTGCAAGTTTTATTTTTTCATGAAGACAGTGCTTTTGGGTTTATTTTGTTTTGTTTTGTTTTGATACCTCTACCTTTTCCATTTGATCTAAGCTTCACTTGATAATCCATTCTGGCTTCCTTCTATTGATTTCATAAATTACTGAATTGAATTCTTGGTTCATTTGTTTTTATTCTGTTTATTTGTTTATAGTGAAAACATTTAAACCTATTAGCTTTACTCTGAATATATTTTACTCTGGGTCTCTGAGTATAGCTGTGGCCACATCCCATAAATTTTGACATATTATTTTATCTTATTATGGTGTCTCTGTTATTATTTTCCAAAGGGTTCCCAGTGAAGTTTTTATTTTCTCATTGATGTAAGAGTTTGTGGGGATGGTTGTATATTTCCATGTGTTTCAATATACTGGTTTTAAATAGTGGTCCTCTGCTTACAGCTGAGAAATTTTGAATATTTCTTAACTTTTTGGAATTTCTCTCATATATTTTATGTAATTATTGAAGGTAATAAATGAGAAATTGTAGGCAAAATACTTAACACCATGCTGAATCATAATCACTCAGTAAATATTAGTGAATGATATTGTTTTTATTGGTAATATCCTGCTAAACTCTAATGACAGTAACAGTGCATATAAAGGAAGAACAGTCCAATTTTGCAGTTGAAACTGTTTTTCTGAATGGTGGGACAAGCAGAGAGAGAAGAATACAATATTTCCAATTCCAATTTCACAACAAAAGGATCACTTTCATTTATGTGAAAAAGTGTGTATCAGGGTCTTTTGGTTATCTATTGGTGTGTAACAAACCACCCCAAAATTTAGTGGCTAAAAACAACAACATTTCTTTTCCTTACAAATCTGCAATTTGGATAAGTTGCATTTGGGTAGCTCGTTTCTGCTCCACTCAGCACCAGCTGGGACATCTCAAAGTCTGAGAGCTGGAATCATCAGAAGTCCTCCTCATTTACACATCTAGTGATTACTGTTACATTGCCAGCAGTCCTGGCTGCTGTTTTAGACCTTAGCTGGGATTGTTGGCTAGAAAACCTACTAGTGGCCTTTCTGTGTGGCTTGGGTTTCCCTATATACAGTGGCTGAATACCAAGGGCAAGGTACAGAGAGAGAGAGAGAGAGGTAGAAGTAGTACTGACTTCTAACCTAGCCATGGAAGTCACACCGTGATTTCCTCTGTATTTTGTTAATAGCACATAACTAAGGAGGCCTATGTTCATGAAAGAGTGTTAGTGTTGTAAGATCACGTGGGATGGGATATGTTGGAATGACTGTCTTTAGAACATGTATCTCTCACTCTGAATTTCTAAGGGCTTTTTATTTTCGTTTATATCCCCTACTCTGATGCAGAGTAAAAATTCTTAGCTTCTGATTTGAGGAATGGCTGTAAGTTTTTATGTTTCTTATTATTTGTTCTCATAGAATCTTCTTATGTATTTTAGTGGGAACATTAGAGATGCTGGATATTATACTCTTAGAGATGATTTAGACCTTCATGGGCCACTTTTGAATCGTTTTCCTAATGCCAAAACACAGATCTCATCAAGAAATACTACCAAATCCACTTAGATTGACCTAAACTTGGTGAAATAATTAAAATATACTTCCTTGTGGATAATTTCGTCCCCATTTTAATTTCGCAGTGTATCCTTGCTTTGTTTGTGCCAATAACTTTTAAGGATGGTAGAATCTTGGCCGTGGGCTGGAAATGTTAGGAAGATTGGAGTGGTGATCTATGCTTTGAACAGCCAAATCTAAATCAACCTTTGAAATATTACTTGGGTTGGCAAGATGCAGCCTGGACTAAGGACATTACTGCAAGCCAAAAACTTTTTGGAACAGTAGATAAAGCTCTGACATTCATACCAGCTGTGATTTTGATTAAATCACTCTTCCTGCATTCTTAAATATTTGCCTTAACTTTATGGCCAGACCTGCTCATCCCCACTATAGAGCAGAAGAGATAGAACTGAAAAAGCAAGTTATTACTTACTACATTTACTAAAAACTAAGTAGCACCAAATGATGAGCCAGCACAGCCTGAATCAGCTATAGATTCTAGAGCATGTTCAACCCTGTAAACAAAGCCCAATAAAGAAGCAAAAGGTTAAGTCCGTATCTGTAAGTAGTAATACTTAATAATTATTCAATGCTTAGTGTGCGCCAGGCACTATACTGAGCTCTTCATGTTTATAATCACACACGATTTTCTCAAGCAAGTAAAGAAATAGGTATCATTATGATCCTCATTTTAAAGATATTGAAACTAAGGCTCAAGAAGTTAAATAACTTATTCAAGTTCATACAGCTAAGTGACAGAGTAGGAATTCAAACTGGAGTCTTTCTGACTGTAAACTCTACACATGCAAACACTTTCCTACATTGCAGATATGATGGAGCTATAGTTCAACCCCACTAATTTGATGATGAAGTAGTTTAGGCTCAGATGTCATATGACCTTTCCAAGGTCACAAAGCTATTTAGTTAGTCAGGCCTTTAGGTTCTATGTTGAATGACTGTAATTCTCTACACATCATAGTGCTGCATAGATTTTTAATTCCACTTAGAGGCCCTACATCCCAAATAATTAACAAGATAGTTAAATATTAGAGATATATTTCTGAATTTATGTTTAGTCAATACTTGAGTTCTTATGACATTATTATGTGGTAAAAATTTCTCTGTAACAGATAATTGCAATATCTCCACTTGTTTATTTCACTGAGATGTTTTTCAGGATGAAGGAAATATTGTCTGTAAGGTACACAATATGAAACACTAAGTATTACTTAGTAAACTGCAAGACACCCAAGTCGCTGTTGTATTTGTGACTGAGATCACTTTTGCTATCAGCCCACAGTGCAGAAGTCCAGCAACCACAAAACACTCCCTTTCACCCACTCAAAGTGGTTCTTTCCTTCTCTAGTTAAGCAGTGAGTAGCACAGACTGTTGTGGTTGGTGTATTTCTACACGGTGGGTAGCAGAGAGTAAAGAAATGATCATAGCCACAAATTCAGCAATGGAGCAAGCTTTACTGGCACGTTTAATTACTTCCTGTGAGTTGCACAAAGTGCCATCTTGCTTCTCCCTAAGGTCCAACCACAAGTACACTAATGCATAATGAAAATTACCAGGATACACCTAACACAGTGCCATCTGGTGGTTTCTATCTAATAAGATAAATATACAGGCAAACCTCATTTTATTGTGCTTCACAGATAATGTGTTTCTTACAAATGTGGCAACCCTGCATCAAGCAACAGTATGCGCTCACTTTGTGTAAGTGTCACATTTTGGTAATTCTTGCAATATTTGAAACTTTGAAATTATTATCGTGTGTATTAGGGTGATCTGTGATTAGCGACCTTTGATGTTCCTATTGTAATTGTTTTGGAGTGCCACAGACTGTGCCCAAAGAACACTGCAAACCTAATTGATAAATAGCTTGCGTGTCCTGACTCCTTCACTGGCCAGTCATTCCCTCATCTCGCTACCTCTCCTCAGGCCTTCGCATTTCCTGAGACACACAATATTGAAATTAGTCCAGTTAATAACCCTACGATATGGCCTCTAAGTGTTTAAGTGAAAGGAAGAGTTGCAGGTCTCTCACTTCAAATCAAAAGCTAGAAATGATTAAGCTTAGTGAGAAAGGCATGTGGAAAGTTGAGATAGGCCAAGAGCCAGGGCTTTTGTACCACAAACGTTTAGCCAAGTTGTGATTGCAAAGGAAAAGTTCCTGAAGGAAATTAAAAGTGCTACTCCAGGGAACAAATGAATAATAAGAAAACAAAGCATTTTTATCATTTATATGGAGACATTTGAGTGGTCTGGTTAGAAGATCACACCAGCCGTAACATCACCTTTAGCTAAAGCCTAATCCAGAGCAAAGCCTTAGCTCTCTTCATGTTCTATGAGGTTCTGTGAAGACTGAGAGAAGCAAGGAAGCTGCAGAAGAAAAGTCTGAAGCTGGCAGAGATTGGTGCATGAGGTTGAAGGAAAGAAGCCTTCTCTATAACATAGAAGTACAAGACGATGCAGCAAATCCTGATGTGGAAGCTGCAGCAAGTTATTCTGGAAATCTAGCTTAGATAATTGATGAAGATGTCTACACTACACAACAGATTTTTAATATAGACAAAATAGCCTTACATTGGATGAAGATCTCATCTTAGACAGTCATAGCTAGAAAAAAAGTCAATGCCTAGCTTGAAAGCTTCAAAGGGCAGGCTGATTCTCTTGTTAGGGGGCTAATGCAGCTGGTGGCTTTAAGTTGAAGCCAATGCTTATGTAGGAACCCAGTTTTCAGATTCCTTCCTGGGCTGGGGTCGCCGCGAGAGACCACTCGACACGGAAGTCACAGCGGAGAGATTTATTGCTAGCGCGCTAGGGTCCTATGTCCAAAGTTGGCCACAGGACCCTGAATGCTTGTTACAGACAGTTTATAAAGGAAAAAACCACAAAATTTTACAAAGCTTGAGGCGCAAGATGATTGGAGCAGGTTATGGCCTGAGCGAGATGTCTTACTTTAATTGGTTGGTTTGAACCTGGTTTGAACCCGCGCGGGGTATTTCCCGGACTTGTTCTTCTGTTTGAGTTCCAGGAATATGGGTGGGTGTTTTAGATAGCCACACGGACATCAGGCGGGTGCTTTAGATGGCCACCTGGTCGTTGGGTGGGTGCTTTTAGATAACCACCTGGTGTGGCTTTTCTAAGCTTCTAAGTTTCTAAGTCTCTAAGTTTCTAAGCTTCTAAGTCTATAAATTTCTAAGTCTCTAAGTTTCTAAGCTTCTAAGTTTAAAGGTTTTTAAGTTTCTAAATCTATTTTCACTTATTTACCATTCTGAAAATCCTAAGGTCCTTAAGAATTATGCTGAATGTACTTGGCCTGTGCTGTATAAATGGAACAACAAAGCTTGGATGACAGCACTTCTGTTTATAATATGGTTAACTGAGTATTTGAAACCCACTGTTGAGACCTACTTCTTAGAAAAAAAGATTGCTTTCAAAATATTACTGTTTATTGACAATACACCTTGTCACCCAAGAGCTCTGATAAAGATGTACAAGATTCATGTTATTTTCATGTCTGTATAATTCAGTAACCATTCTGCAGCCATGGATTAAAGAGGAATTTTGACTTTTAAGTATTATTATTTAAGAAATAAATGTTTAAGGCTATAGCTGCCATAGATAATGATTCCTCTGATGGATCTGGGGAAAGGAAATCTAAAGACTTCTGAAAAAGACTCACCATTCTAGATTCCAATAAGAACATCTGTGATTCATGGAAGGAGGTCAAAATATCAACATTAAAAGGAGTTTGGAAGAAGTTGATTCCAACCTTCATGGATGACTTTGAGTGATTCAAGACTTCAGAGGAGGAATAACTGAAGCTATGGTGGAAACAGCGTGAGAATTAAAGTGGAGCCTGAAGATGAGACTCAATTGCTATAATCTCCTAATAAAACTTGAATGGATGAGGAATTATTTCCTATGAGTGAGCAAAGAAAATGGTTTCTTGAGATGAAATGTACTCCTGGTAAGGATGCTGTGAACATTGGTGAAATAATAACAAAGGGTTTAGAATATAATGCTTAAATGTAACCGAGAAAGCAGTGGCAGAATTTGAGGGGATCAACTCCAGTCTTAAAAAAACTTCTACTGTAAGTAAAATGCTATCAAACTGCATCACATGTTACAGATAAATTTTTCATGAAAGGAAGAGTCAATGAATGTGGCAAACTTCATTGTTCTCTTATTTTAGGGAATTGCCACAGCCATCCCAACCTTCAGCAACCATCACCCTGATTTGTCATTCAGCCATTAACATTAAGGTAAGACCACTTGGCCAACAAAAAGACTTACGACTTGCTGAAGACTCAGATGATTGTTATTTTTTAGCAATAAAGTATTTTTAATCAAGGAATGTGCATTGCTTCTTAGACATAATGCAATTGCATACTTAATAGAGTACGGTATAATGTAAGCATAACTTTTATATGTACTGAGAAACCAAAAAAATTGTGTGACTTGCTTTATTTTGATGTTTGCTTTACTTCAGCATTTGGAACCCAACCCACAATATCTCCAAGGTACGCTTGTATAAACCCTTTCTCATCCCAATTTAACCTCTTGTTGACTATGGAAAGCCAGCTTAATAGTTGCTCATAATTAAAAAGTACTGTATGTTACAAAAAATTTCAACGTAGTTGACTGTTTCAGAGTAAAAAAAAATTGCCAAGTTTTTTTTTTTTTTTTTTTGGAATAATCAGTATGCATTTTATCTGGGGAGCACTTTTAGAGTAGGGAAGAGGAAAGGGGTTCTTAGCTTTATTAGATGAGTATCATATGCATGCCTAAGTGTCTTCTCTTACATGATCTTCCCAGGAGATCAGTGTCAGGGACTAAATCAATCCTGGTGTGTGTCCTTTTTCTAGAGGGGAATTTATTTAATATAAGACCAGCAGATTAACACTTTTCTGAAAAAAAACATTGACGCTTATTAATGTGAAACAACTGATAACAATAATTCAGTGATTGGTATGTTGTCATTGCTTTCCCTAAGACATCAAAGTCTAGATTTTGAGACTGGCCAGCCAAAACACTGCTCACAGGGGATACATGATGATGTGGGCATGATCCTTAATGTTCCTATAATTCTAGTCACACTTGCCCCTAATCCCAGGAGTGACAGCCAACTTAGTCAGTTCTTGCTTCCTGACAATCCTGAAATCTATACACTGCTTGCCATATATCATTCTGATTTTAGGAAAGGAAAGACGGGAATTATTACCTTCTCTTGTACTCACTTTCTCTTTATTTGTGCAAAACAATTGTTTTTCTTAGTCATCTTTTTTTCCCCCTCTTTCTCTATACAACATGATTGTCCTTGTTTTTGGCTTTTTTTCCCTACCCGATGGGCATTTCTTGTCACATTTGGCTATTTCTTCCACCCCACTGGCAAGTTCTCTCTCATGCTCTAGCATAATCAGTTCTGGGCTTGTTTCAATTTGCAGTTGCATCCAATATCCAATTGCATTTAATTAATTTATTTATTTTAATAATTTCAATTTTTATTTTTGATCCAGGGAGTACATGTGCAGGTTTGTTACACGGGTATATTCCATGATGCTGAGGTTTGGAATGCAAATGATTCCATCACCCAGGTAGTGAGCATAGTACCTATTAGTTTATCAACTCTTACACCCCCTCCCATCCTCCCTGCTTTAGTAGTCCCCAGTGTCTGTTGTTGCTATCTTTATGTCCTTGAGTATACAGTTTGTAGCTCCCACTTTTAAGTGAGAATATATATGGTATTTGGTTTTCTGTTCCTGCATTAATTTGCTTAGCATAATGGCCTCCAGCTACATTCATGTTGCTGCAGAGGACATGATTTTGTTCCTTTTTACGACTGCATTGTATGCTATAGGAGATATATATCTCATATTTTCTTTATCCAATCCACTGCTGATGGGCACCTAGGTTGAATGCATGTCTTTGCTATTGTGAATAGTGCTGTAATAAACATACAAGTACAGGTGTCTTTTTGGTAGAACAATGTATTTTCTTTCAACATACCCAATTTTGAACTTTTATTTCAGCTCTAAATTATGTAACATCAAAAGAATTTTAACTACTTAAAACCCAGGAACAGGAATAGTTAACATATTGTTAATCTATATTCTCCTATGATTTAAACTACTTCTCAAAGGCTGAACACCTTTGGAAGACTCATTAGTCATCTCTTGTCTATAAGGCTATAAGATGATTCTTACAGTCAATTATTACCTTAAATGTTGTAAAAAGTTGGTATGTTTAAATTTATGGTAGTTTTACTGATCTACACATGGGTCAAAATTTTTAAAAAGGTTAAAAAAAATCAAAAGAGGTATTCTTCTTAATAGCTACTCTCTACTTTTGCCTAAAATATAACCTTTTATAAAACCTCAAAGTAAGCTTATTTTACGATGAAATAAAATGAAGGAAAATGAGTTAAGGATTACATTAAAAAATGTCAGGTAGAAAGAAAACTTCTCAAATTCCAGTTGAGATGGGCCTAGGCCTATGGAGGTAAAGGATGTTATGGGAGTGTGAGGAGAGGATACTTCCTACTCCCTGGTTGGCGTCCCTGGGTTTTATCAGTTTTTACTTCAAGTTTCCCTTAATTCTCATATCTTATCTTCTTCTGTTTCGGAGCTCAGCCTCCTGGCCCAGGGACTTGAAACTTAAGTATTCCTACTCTGATGGGAAATAGGCCCCTGCCATTGCAAGTTGACACGCTGAATGCATTTTCTCACAGGAGTATTATAACATGCATTTATTGTTCACAAAACTCTCAGGACAGAACTTTGTTCCTGCCACTTTAGCTATCTGGTTGTGTATCAGAAAAATGCAAATTGAGTTTTGATAAACTTGCAACCTGAACTCTTGGAACACATCCTCGTGGAAGTTAGAGGGTACCTTTATGCTTAGAAATACCAAAGAAATCTTTGTTGGTTTCTCTCCAAGCTCTCCTGAAAATCATGAACATTCTAACAACCCCAGCAAAAGCCAGCAGGAAGCCTAAACGCATATGCTATTGAACTTTTGAACTCTGAAACAGCATCTATTTTCTTAGTTCTGTTTGTTGACTCTTCTTTGATCTCATCTTATTAGAAAGATAATACCCTAACATTTTAGCATATTTAAAATAAACTGCTTTAACAATCCTCCAGGGAGCTCAGCTTAACTTTAGCCTTTTCCCAATCTCTAAAGCTCTTTACTGCAGTGTGTACTCACCTACATGGAAATTGTCTGCTAAGTAATTCTTCCTAACGGGGAGTTTACTTTTCTGAATACACTCTAGGCAGAAATATTTATATTTCATTTGAGCATTTGAATGTGAACCCTATTTCTAATTTAGTGACTATCTTTGAAAGCTTGCTAATAAAACTAGAAGATCCAAAGAAGTGGAAACTGTGTCTATAGTTAGAGGGGTGGTGGTTGTGGTGGTGAGAGCTGCCTTGTAGGGTTATTTGGCCAAAGCTTTACATTTAGAAAAGGTCTCAAATTTAGACTTCGTATAATCTTAAAATAAGAAAATAACGTGCAGATACATACATAATGTATTGAAAGATGATCATTGTACAATTCAAACTTGCTGTTCCCAAACCACATCAAAATAACACACTATGAATTGATACAGACATCAGTTTATTGATATCTTTTAATTAGTTTATTAATTTATTGATATGTATTTTAAAATATCTATTCTATACGTATCTGGCAAATAGGAAAATAGTAGCCTTATAATTTTTGCTTAAAATATGTAATTTTTAAAGGTAAATATTGAAAATCTAACCACAGTTGTAGATAGCTTTAGTAGCATTTCTGGAATTTATTTTCTGTCTTCCCACTTCCAAATATTACCCAAAATTTTCTTTCAGCTTTATTCATCTCTCATCTGTTCACTCTGCCTTCAATACAGAATGGTTCTGGTTTTCTTGACAGCATGTTTCATTTTTGTAGCCCCAACCACTCGTTAAAGGATAGATGTGACTTCTGTGGTGTAGCTTGGTTGAGTTCCAGGACCCTTTCTTGGAAAGCTGTTATATTTCTTCTTCAATAGATTTGAACGAAGAAATGTGGACTTTATACTAGGAGAAGAATGAACCTTATGACAACAGAGAGGAAGAATTGGGTCCCTCCATTATACTGTGAAAGTTGTTCATACTAATTAGGTCATTCCTGTCATACCCAGCTAAATCAGGGTCAAGGAGCCAGGGGGAAAAAGCACTTGAGATACATAACATTGCTCTAGAAATATAATTCTCTGCAGGTCCAGCTGCCGAACTTGCCGAGTTCAGCAAATATTACTCAGGTTTTCTTTTTGCTCTATTCATCTCTCATGTATTCACTGTACCTTCAATACAGAATGGTTCTGGTTTTCTTGACAGTCAACGTGTTTCATTTTTGTAGCCATAATAAACCTGAGGCCAAATACACAATTGTAACCTGAGATCAGTTTTATCTATAGCTCCTGCTGAGATAACTTGCTGCAAGTCTAGGACTAATGTTACCCACTGATATCACCCACTATTGAAGCTTACCAGCTCCTCAAAGCTTTACTAATGCCAATGAATTTTTTCTCAAGACCACACATAATATTCCTCTTTTTTTTTTTATAAAACCCCCAACCTTCTCTTTGTTCTTAAGACATACTGAAGACCATGTAATCTACAGATATGCCTTGAATTACAATTCTTGCTTCCCAAATAAAATGTTAAGTTTAGAGAGTCATCTCTACATTTTAATTTTAACTTTGAAATACATGGTGTCAGAAGTGGGCTCCAAAGCCAATTGACCTTGAGGAGCATCACTGGCCCTTGGGATTATTATGTGAGGTGCCTATAATGGAGATCTTTGAGTGCCCGTTTTCCCCCTGATGAGTCTCTCTTGGACAGAACTCCTGAATTTGGTTTGAGTTCCATTTTATTTGGGATTTGGTTGGGGGAGGTCTTTCTCCTTCCTGTTTGAAGAGAAGTCTTTCTCTCTCTTGTCTGGGATATCCTTTGTTGAGGAGGGTTATTTTCCTCATGTTGACCTCAGCTGTGAGGTTTTGACCTCCAGATTTGGAAGAGGGGATTTTTCCCTTCATTTAGAGAAGGCTTACTGTCCTTCCTAGTATGACTTTATCTTCCCTTGGTGCTTGCATTTTAATTTGACTTTTGGGAACTGGAGCTTGCATTGCATTGGCTTTTGTGTATTCGGCATTAAACTGGATCACAATGGGTTCTTAAAATTTAAAGACATTATCAAAGAAAAACAAAAAATTAAAAGAAGAGAAAAAGGCTTTAAAAGTCCAAAATCCTTCTGTCTCTCAGGTGCCATCTACTGCCTCTCCTCTCAATCTTTCACTTTTTCCAAACTTTCTTCCTTTTTAATACATCTTCCTGTGCTAATGCCCTACCTCCTGCTTTTCAGTCTCAACCTATGGAAACTTGTTCCTTTAAGATCAGGCTCTCTAACAATCCTAAGTTTCCCTAGATTTCTTATGACCCTTGGACTAAATTTGAACTTCATGCAATAGCCAAGGATTTTCCTAGTTACTGAAGACTCCCATTATTTTGTCCATGAATTTTACATTACAGTTCAGGCTTAAAACAGCTGGGCTTCTCTGGCCTTTACTGACTTGTTTGTGTGCTTGTAGAAAGCCAGGCCCATCACCAAATGCAAAAGCAGATTGGACACATGTCCAAAAGGATTTAGTGAGACCTGTCCCTACTTCCTCAGCATATGGTCTGCAATATTGGGAACAGGCTCAGCAACTTGCAAGAAATGTACATGGGGCCATTATCAAAGCATTTCTCAAAGCCACAGACTGGAATAAAATTCAAGCTTGTACCCAACAGCCAAATGAATCAGTTCACAACTATGATATCAGGTTCCAAGCTATACTTAGAGAAAATTCTAGTTTTCCCATGGATTTTGACTCCACTAGAGTCACCTTTAATTCTATGTTTGCTAATGGTTTTTACTAAGAACTTCCTCAACTAATAAAAAGAGCCTGCCTAAAATAGGAGACCATATAAACCACTAATCTTGTTAATTTGGCAAATTAATGGCCTGGAACCTTAGATAATACCAATAAAAAGAAGGCCACTAAAGTTTTAAATGTCCAACTACACAGATGAATGCTTCCAGAACAAACAATTGGGGCTTGGGTGCCGTGACTCATGTCTGTAATCCCAGCAATGTCGGAGGCCAAGGCAGTTGGATCACTTGAGCCCAACAGGTTGAGACCAGCCTGGGGAACATGGCAAAATCCCATCTCTACCAAAAAAAATACAAAAATCAACAGGATGTGATGGTGCATGCCTGTAGCCCAGCTACCTGGGAGGCTGAGGTGGGAGGATCACCTGAGCCTGGGAGGTCAAGGCTGCAGTGAGCCATGATGGCACCATTGCACTCCAGCCTGGGTAGCAGAGTGAGACTCTGTTTCAAAAACAAAACAAACAAACAAACAAACAGACAAACAAAAAACCCGATAATTGAGACCCTAAATGGTACAACTTGAATCCACAAGGGCTATTTCCTGGTAATTGTCACTATTGTAAATAGCCAAACCATTGGAATAAGAACTATCCTAAGCTTAAATGAATTAGACATCCTTCTTCAAATGAACTTCCATTATCTCCCCCACAATGTAGGGGATGTGAGGACTCAGTGTTTTGTTTTCTTCAATCCTCCCTCTTAATCACTGTGAGGAGATTACTCTTCAAATTGGCAATAAGATTCTAACAGTTCTCAGAGACACAGGAGCAACCCTATCAGTTGAACCCCATCAGCCTCAATCAGTCCCTACCTCAGAGTGATAAAACATTCAAAGGGTGGGAGTCTCTAATAAGCCGCCAATAGCCTTTCTGTCCCAGTCTATTACTTTCTGCTTGAGATTTTTACAGGATACTCATCTTTTCTTACTGGTGGAGTCTGCTCCAGCTTATTTACTGGGATAAGATTTTTAAAAGAGAAAAACCATGATGGCATCTACTTCTCCCAAAAGAGGGAAATGATTCTAGAATTTGATGATCCCAATAGTTCACTGGACTGTCAAAAAAATGAAAACCTAAAAAAAATATGTTTTTTAAGCGACCCAAGATTGCTTCAGTTTGGACCTATGGGTAATAAAAACTAGGCCTATAAACTAAAGTTAATCTCTCACTCATAATGATGAGGTCTGTCAAATATTTACTGACATGTACTGATTACCACCTTTCCTATCAGATAAAGCACAAAGACAGGATAAAGGCAGTTATCTCTCTCCAGACCTTAAAACTTCTATATACTAGTTAACATTTTACTCTGTATATGTTAACCACCTATTTGCTTTGTCTTATATATAACGTCACTGAGCATTAATCAGAATTTATAAGAATGTCACCTTTGCTTTACTGTCCTCCTCCTTTCATTTTCTAGATAACAAAATGTATACATTTTGAGCTGATGTAGCCCACTCTGGGACACATTCTTTTGTGCTAATTCTGCATTTCTGGACTGCAATCCTCAAATTTGGCTCAAAATAAAATTAAGTTCATAGTTTAAGTTTATAGCCTCTTATTTTAGCCTCCAGTCAACAGGACTCTACTAATGATGTTTCAGTTATTTGTTAACGCTGTCTCATGTGCAAAAGACATCTCTGCTGCCTTCCAAAATTCCTTATTGGAACAGATACCTGTGTGTTTATGGGCCATATCATCAACAGAGTACACTCCTAATAAAAATCCAGATTGACCCCCTTGCCTAGTATCAAACAGTATCTCTTTAGTCAATTTGCCTGGCAATGCATAAAACCCATAACTGAAAAATACAAGACTCAAAGTTTAATAATTCCTTGTACTAGTCTCTGTAAAACTCCTATTCTCCCAATAAGAAAACCTAAGAGCCAAGGATGAAGATGTGTTCAAGATAAATAATATCACCGTATCCCATCATCCCATAGTTCCAAATTTGCACACTTTGCTGACATGAATACCAACTGATAGTACATTTTTTCGCTGTAATTAACCTCTGCAGTTCCTTCTTTAGCTTCTTGTTGATTAAGGCCATCAATACATATTTATCTTCACCTGAGTGAAACTATAATATACCTGGGTGGTCATGCCTTAGGGATATACTGAAAATCCTTTTTACATCTCCTGAGTTCTGAATGCTGATTTAGGAGATGTGGCTTTTTTCCTAAAACTTGTCTTCATTACATTATGTAGATGAGTTATTTCTTTGTTCTTCCTCGTAGGCAAGACTGCAAGGAAGACAATCACCTCCAAAGGTCACATGGTTTCTAAAGAAAAACTACAACTAGTTAAGTCCCAAGTTAAATATCTGGGTCATCTGATTTCAGAAACAGAGCTGCATTTGGATCCTGAACAACTACAAGGTGTTCTACAATTCCGTAAGCCCAAAGTAAAATAACAACTTTGAAGGCTTTTTGGATTCACTGGGTGGGATACTGCCATTAACTGGATACCAAACTTCTCTTTGACTGTCTGATCCCTGCATGTCCTACTTAAAACCTCTCGACCTGATACCATTATATGGAAAAAATCTGAAGATACTGGTTTTTTAAACTTAAATGAAGGGCTTTTAAATACCCCTGCCCTAGACACCCTAATTATCAACTTTGTTTTCCTTTTTGTTTATGAATAGAAAGGAAATGCCTTGGACATCCTAACCCAGAAACATGAATTTCAGCACCACCCCCTTGGAGATTACAGCCGGCAACTACAGCCAGTAGTAGCTTGAGAATTACTCTCTTGTTTGCAAGCAATTCCAGCTACCACCCTATTAATTAACTTCCACTAAATAAATTATCATGGAATCTCCCTTAAGCATTTTTGTTCCCCACACTACGGAATCTCTTCTAAATTCACATCACACCCAGCATTTCTCTGCCAGTCACCTTCTGTCTTATGAACTGCTTTTACAAGCTTCTCCTCACACGACTCTTTTTCAATGTAATAATCTCAACCCTGCTACCCTTTTGCCTCCTCCTTTTGGTGAGAGCCCCAACCGCTACCCCATGACTATTGGACACTTTCTGACTCTTCAGAAAGATTTAGAAGAAACTCCACTAGATAATTCTGAACTATTATGGTTTACAGATGAACGATATTTAAAAGATGACAGTGGTGAATACTATACAGGTTATGCAGTACTACTTCCTTTGAAGTCATTGAAGATGCTCCCTTACCTATGGCTACTTCTGCCCAACAGACAGAACTTTTTGCTGTTGCTCAGCTTTGCCTCCTTGCTAAAAGAAAATGTACATATATATATAAATATATGTATATATAAAATAAATATATAAAATATGTTTTTTATATATAATATATATACACACATAATATATATATACACACACAGACAGTAGATAGGCTTTTGGGGTTGCTCAGGATTGTGGAATGCTCTGGAAATAAAGGAGTTTCCTCACTTCCACTAGGGATCAAATTAAAAATGGATTCTATGTACAGGACTTCCTGAATACCATCCAGGTCCCAGACGCCTGGGCTATTACCAGAACTCCAGACATTCCAGGTTAGAATCTATGGAAGCTAGAAGAAACAACTTTGTTAATAATGCTGTAAAGAATGATGCTATTAAAGTTTGATTTAATCAAATCTCTATTGTGACCCCACTAAAAGAGCTCTCAAAAGATGACTGAAAAATAATTACGAAAGACTCACAGAATGGCCACCAGAAGCTGAAAAGGAAAGATCATTGCTGCTGGTTTGATGACAAAAAAGAACTATGGTTTGAACCTGATAGTAAATTAGTTTTCCCAAATTTAGTAATATACTCATTGTTAACCAAAGAACATAATTTGACTCACTAGGCAATTAACAAATTAATTTCTTTTAAAAAAACAGTATTGGTGGGGTGACATTTAAAAAGCTGTGAAACATGCCTGTTTGCCTTGCACCACCTGCCCTAAGTTTAATCTAGGAAAACCCATATGTACCAATCCTGGACATTTCAGTTGACCTAATGGGCCTTTCAAGGTTTGGCAAATGGATTTCACCCAACTACCTCTTCCCTCGGGCATATATTTATATACACCAGTAATGGTTTGCATGTTCTCCCATTGTGTAGAGGCTTTTTCCTGTAGATAAGCCAATGCTTCAGTTATGGCCAAAATTCCTCCGGAACAAATTATTCCACCCAGGGAACTCCTCTTGAACTACAAAGTGATTGGAGATCCTGTTTTCCTGGCCATGTAATAAAACAAGTGTGTTCAGTTTGGACAACTTCATAGCATTTCCATTGTGCCTACTATCCCCAATCTTCTGGCCCAGTAGGATGAACAAATGGAACTCTACAAACCCAGTTGGAAAGATTTATGGAAACTCTACACCTTCCTTGGCCTAAAGTTCTTTCTTTGGTATTGTTAAATGTAAAGGCCACTTTTTGGGGGGGCTCATAAACTTTCACCTTTTTAAACTGTCACAGGCCATCCTATGCACTTAGTTCCTTCTGCTTTTGACAATCAATGAAAGGAGACATACTTCAATATTGTAAAGGCATTATTAAAGCAATGAATGGCAATCATACTTTGATAGAACCTCTTTTCACAGCACAGTCTCAGGAAACAAAGACCTAAAATACCAGAATCTGCAGCCTGGCAACTTGGTCTCCTGGAAAAGACACCTACATAAGAATTCTCTCCAGCCTCACCGGAAGGCCCATAACCAGTCCTTCTCACCAATCTCTGTGCTGCCAAACTAAAGGGCATTGACTCCTGGATCCACATCTCTCATTTTAAAAGATTTCTACTTCTCACTGAACCAGCACCCAAACAGGGAATTTAAATTCGCTTCATCAATGAGATAAAGCAGATTCTATCTGTAGTGGACTGTGGACTAGGTCAGTATACCACTTAAAAAAAATGTTTGATCTCTTCTTACATGCCTACATTTTCCTGGAAAGATAATGCCCTAGTGCACATTTTCTAGTCTAATGCCAAAGGTGGAAATGTAACTGTTGGATCTGTCACTCAAAACTCTGATCTGTTCATGAGGCAAGTGAACTTTTAGTTTACCACATAACAGATTTCACTCATGTTACTAATGTAACTGTTTGTTCAAGTTGTGCATCTGGTCCTTTTTATAAAGTCAAACTTTCAGACTCACATGTTCAGATTCCCTATTTCACCCTAACAGAGCTGTCTGTAGAAAATACTTTGAAAATAGATTTAAAAATTATAAAAATTAAAACTTAAAAACTCGTAAAAATATTTATGATCCAAATTCCTTTATTGTTCATAGTTTCCAACAATGTAATAACATGATAGTAAGACCTTGAATAACTATTGCTAATAATTCTCTATGAATACTCTACATGGGATTGCCTGTTGTGCCTCAATAGGATACATTTTTATTTATGGGGAATTTGGTAATCAATCGTATGCACAGGCAACATCACACCTCAATGAGAAGGAGAAGGCCAATGTGGCTTAGGGTATTTCTGGATTCAAATTAAGTTAACAAATTTTGAACATTGTTGACACCTATTACCTTATGTTTTAATATTAACAGAGATACCCTCCTAGAAAACATACATCCAGTCTGATGGGTCTCAGTTGCCAGAGTTTTGCTGCCTTGCATCAGTTACTTAGAAACAATGGTTGGAAACCTATGCTTAACAATTGGAGCTGACTCTAGAGCTAAGGTCATTGTGACTCAACAAATTTCCCTAGATTTTCTTGCTAAAGTAGCGTTAGTTAACAGAATTGCTTTAGATTACTTACTAGCTATGCTAGTGTTTGTGCAATAGGTAACTTAATTAAGTAGAAACACAATTACACAAGATAAAAAAAAAAAATGGCTTTAACAATTCTCACCAGATACTTCTGGACTTTTTGATCTGTTTAGTTGGTTACTTTCAAAATTAGGTCATGGTTTAGAACTATTATTCAAACTGGATTTTTTATACTGTTGCTGATTTTTTTTTGTATTATGATTTTTAAAGCTTTGTCTTTATTGCCTGTCTAATCTTTGTAAAGCCAACTCTTCCAACAGGATAATGTTATCTCAATACCTAAAGATGATTGTTGATGCCTATGGGACTGGTAAGATAGAGTTTGATACTGGACTCCAAAAAGACCTTTCCTGAGGACATATTTCATTCTCTGACATAGATCCCTGTCCTTTTTCACTGATATGGGACAGAGAAAACTGGGACAGGTCCATCTTGGCACAGAGGGACAGTTAAGCTTAATTGCAAAATAGTTGATTAGTGATAGCTGCAAAGAAAGAACTTGAGCAAAAGGGAGAAATGGGCCAAACACAGTGGTTCATACCTGTAATCCCAGAATTTTGGGAGGCTGAGGCAGGAAGATCTCTTGAGGCTAGGAGTCTGAGATCAGCCTGGGAACATAGTAAGACCCTGTCTCCACAAAAAATAAAAATAAAAAATTAGTCTGGCATGGAGGCATGTACCTGTAGTCCTAGGTATTCAGGAGGCTGAGGCAGGAGGATCACTTGAGCTCAGGAGGTAAAGGCTGCAGTGAGCCGTGATGGCATCACTGCACTTCAGCCTGGGTGAAAGAGCCAGACACTGTCTGAAGAAAAAAAAAAAAGGAAGAGAAATATGAAAGTCTGACCCCAATCGGAAGGACCAGGAGAAATAGCACTCAGGTACATAACATTGCTCTAGAAATATAATTCTCCACAAGTGCTATGCAAGTCTGACTGCTGAAACTGCCTGTTGTAACCTGAGACCAGTTTGATCTACAGCTGCTGAGATAACTTGCTGCAACTCTAGAACTAGTTTTTTCCACTGCCATCGCCCACCCAGCAGATCTTGCCAGCTCCCTAAAACTTTAATAATACAAAAGAACTTTCTCTCAGCCGCGCACATAACATTTTTCTTTTGTATAAAATCCCCAACCTTCTCTTTTTACTTCAGACATACTGAAGACCACCTGGTCGGCCTGTATGTCCAAACTGCAACTATTTCTTCCCAAATAAAATGTTAAATTTAGAGAGTCATCTCTACATTTTTATGTTGACTCCAACAATATCATTATAGATCTGCCAATTCTGACATCTGATGTAGCTGAGGAACTTTCATGTTTATGATAAAAAATTCTCCCCTCTTTTGAAATCAGGTTTGAATTAAATTTTTGGTTATTTATCACATAAGCAGCCTTAATGTTTTTTCTATTATCCTGATATGTAATTTTTTTACCTTTTTAATATCCAGAGGTCCTCAGAATCTTGAAGGACAGAGGCCTCTCTCAGTCTTTGAGTGCCCTGATTCAATCTAATGATTGCCGCCCACTGCAGCTCGATCCAGTCCACGTTTCCTGGTGAGTCAGAGGTCTGAGCTGAGTAGAGTGGTCCCCAGTTCTTAGGAACGGTTTAATGGGCTTAAGAGGCTGTGATACTGAGGATCCAATATCTTGGGTAACACCAGTCCTCTGCTTTTCATTCTTAATTTCATCACAAAAATCAGGGTGAAACTCAAAAAGATCTAGGAATGACTGTTCTAGGGAATGACTGTTCTAGGGAAACACGTTAGGTCCCAGTGGCTTTAGCTATAGAGTCAACTGTAGAGCCAATCATTTAGGATAGGTTTCTAACTATTGTTTCTAAGTGATTGGCTGAACAATATATGACCCAGACATAAAATATGCTGGGTAAAATCTATTGTCCATTTTGTTTCTTTTGGGAAGTTCATCCTAAGTACTCAAGTTAACTTCAGAAGATCAATGATTCACACATGGCCAACTGTGCCCTGGGGGGACACTTGGCAGTGTCTGGAGGAAGCTGTTTTTTGGTTGTCACAACTAGGGGGAGATGTTACCGGTATTTAGTGGGTAGAGGCTGAGATGCTACTAAATAACCTATTAGGTTGGTGCAAAACTTATTGCGGTTTTTACCATTACATTCAATGGCAAAATCACAATTACTGTTGCACCAACATAATATAATACACAGGACAACCCATAACAATAAATTTTCTAGCCCTAAATGTTGTTAATACCAACCTTAAATAAGGTAGTCCATCTGCAATCATGTGTTACACTCCCTCTCAGTCTTCTATTTTCTCTCATGTGTGCTGGGTAAGCTGGGTGTTTACAATTATTTCTACTACTTCCTAGTTAAGGTTTTCATTTTTCTTTGTTATTTGGAGAAACAGATAAGTTTCAAAATTGGCATGATAATTTTTCTCTGGTACAGTTAGGTAATTTAAAAGGACTATTACCTAAGCAAGTGGGAGCAGGTTTTACTTAGCTGCTTCCCGACTCCTTTTAAAGTAAGTTTCTAAGTACTGCGATTAATGTTTACAAGGTGCTGCTCAGTTATTTTTTATTATTATTATTTTTTAAAGATTCAACACTGTGTAAGATTTTTGCTGCTTTACGGGAGCTCACAATCTAGTATTGGAATTGGGAAAAACATTCAAATTACTTTAGTACAAGGGAGCACCTCTCATGTATAATAAGTTGCTGCTGGGACCCAGAAAGATAATACCCCCAAATATGCTGCTTTGTACTTCAAACTGAGAGCGTCTGGGCAGCATTGCATGTAGGAAAGGGCTTTCTCTGAAGTTGCTCCACCTGCCTTAAAGGCTGGGTCCTCCAGAAGCTCAACTGTTGTGAATCCCTTTCCCAGAGAGCTCATCAACCAGGAGGGAGGATGACACATGACAGGAAGAAAGAGCAGAGTTGACGCCACACCAGAGCCCAGACAGACTTTGTCCCATGCTGTGGTTGGTTCTTTGGGCCCATTCATCTCCCCTAAAAAGTATTTATTCTTCCTCTACAATTGCCTTCATTTCCCACTTCCTTTTCCCCTATGAAGAAGGCCTATAAGCTTCGAAATCTCATTGGGTTATTGGGTCCTCACCCTCCTGAGTTGCTCCCATGCATGTGATGTATTTATATGCCTTTTCTCCTGTTAATCTGTCTGTTGTCTGTTTATTTCTCAAATACTGAACCCCCATAGAGGAGAGAATTCTCTTCCCTTATGTCACCTACTCCTGGGGCGAATGAACACTGCTGGACAAACATAACTACTCTCAAGGGCCACTCCCAGCTTGCCATTTTCCTCTGGTGGCATCTCTAGGACCACAGACTTCTTCAGTGCTTTTAGAAGCTAACAGGCAACTGCCTGTGGTGAGGCTGCCAGCTTTAAGCATTCAGCTTCCCCTGTGCAAAGACAGCGAGGAGAAAAACGCAGCTCAGCAAGGCTGAGAGGGCATGAAATTGTGTTAAGCAACATTCATGACAATGACTGGATTTGCTATTTTAAAGTAAGTGACTAAATGTTTTTTTTTTTTTTTTTTTTTTTTGAAATTGTAATTTTCCTGTGCTGTTAAGTGTAAAGGTGACCGCTCTGTGGTGGGCTCTCGGCAGTCTGTGCTCGACAGCTAATCAGGTTGATTCATTTGGTGAGGTAGGCAGTAAGCTCAGTGATAAAGCGGAATTGAGTTCTTACCTCTCTGAGATATAACACCACACATTTTTTTTTTCTTTCTGCTTTTTGAAGGAAAGAAATAGTCATGCAGACTTTTCAGAAGGACATTGTGAAGACACAACGAGGTTTTATATGTGTAGCAGGGAACATAATCATCCGTGGAACAAAACTGGCTCCCTTATTGAGTTTGCTAGCAGCCTTTCAATAAATGATTTAGGCAGCTATCACTAATGGGAGCTGGAGGTTTTGGTAGGGACCATCCTGGGCTTATTTTAGCTCAATCTCAGGGCTTCTGAAGTGTAAAATGCACATTTACCTGCTGCTAATTACATCAGAGCTGACCAGAGGCAAGTTAGCAATGGCTCAGTATTACCCAATTTCCCCACAGGATGGCATCCACCAGTTAAAAACAAAGTTTATAGTATTAGCAGAATTCATAAAAATAGAGATGGATTAAATTTTCTATTAGACTTTGCAATGTTTAGGGTTTATTTTGATACACACTCTAACTTGATCATAGTGAGCTAGGGCGGTGTGAGTGCTTGCCAGGAGCTGGCACAGATGCAGAGATGGAATTTGCGGTATGTACAAAGGGAGAAAAGGACTCATGCTAAGAATGGAGTTGCTACAAATAAAGCTTAGCTTCTAAGATCCCCCGATCACCAGAGGGCCATTTACGGAACTAATTTTTTTCCTCCATCAGAAGATTAGCAAGTTTCAAGAGATCAAATCAGAACAAGCAGAGCCTCATGCCAAATTAAGGAAAAGCACAAGAAGATTTTGGGTTCTGGTTTGATGAAAACAGTGTTCTAATATTTCTAATATTTTATAGCTGGAGAATAATAACAAGTACAGTGTTTTAGCTACATGAACATAGAAATCACATAGGCTAATCCCGAATGTTGCAAAAAAAGTTCCAAAGAGAATGAGTAATTTTTCCAAGCCAGGACCAGAACGAAAGCAGTAGTTGCTCCATTATTCCTATTTAGGGAGGAGTTAGCCAGTGGGAAGGTGAATGAAGAAGCTTGGTTTGTGTGCCTAGCAAAAATATTTTCAAAATTATGTTTATGTTGCAGACCCATATAAATAGCAAAGTTTTCTAAAGATAATTTATTACTCTGAAAGATGGAGAAATGTTAATTGTTCACATTAAAGGATGTTGTTATTATTAAAAACACTTCGGGCAGTTTAACAGGGTGGTAGAAATTGGGTAGAGGCACTAATACTCCCTCAGGCTGCTCTGGGAATAGAAGGATCTCAATCTTCTGACCCTTCCTGAGATCCTGCCCAACTGTGGGATGTTTCCCTGCACCGCTTCCTGTCCCATCCAGGGAAGAACTGCTGTGTTCTCTGGAGATTATCTCCCTTTGTCCACCTTTTGAGACTCTTTCTGTGAGCCTTCTGTCCTGTCCATCAAATCTTGGAGGCCTTTTAATGGCTAAGCCTGTCAAGCACACTTCTGCATGACCTTGGAAAGGACACTTAAGTACTCTTGGGGGAATGAGTCCCTCATTAGGGAAAGTAAAATCACAGTTCGTTTTTTTCCACTACCAACTGCCAATTCTTTTCAGTTACAGTGTCTGTGAGTTTCACTATTGCGTGTGGACAAATGCACCTCACTTTGTGTTCATGTACGTTAGAGGCATCTACTGTAAAGCTTCTAGAAGGCGAGGATGCTGTTTGCTCACGTAGGTCTTGCAAGTGTAGGCAATTTATTTTTAAAAATGCAAAACAAACAAACAGAAAGAAACTCCTAATTATAGCATCTTGCATGTGAAGAATCCTTAGGCACTACTCCCAGTTGCAGACACAGCAGACTGCATCTGGCTTATTAAGGAAGACACTTCTGGGGGACTTGCTTAAAATAGTGATAACTACAACCCATCCATGGGAATGCTGATTTACGCTGGGCCTGAGAATCTGCATTTTATCCTGTCCCTCCCTGAACTCGGTAATTTTGAAAGGTGTAGGTCAACTGAATCTTAAACCAATCCAGGGACCCTCTGTGCATCTGCAACCACATTGACGGTGACAACATTTAAATTTACCTGTCCTATTTCTTGATTGGAAACTGTCAAAATCTTTCTATACATGCATGTCTGTCCTATTTGTGTATTTCAGTACTGGCCAAAGGGATCTGTGAACATAGTGTGTTTTCAATCACTCTAGAGTCCAGTGTTGAAGAATGTTGAAAAATATTATTATGTGTTGCCAAAGCACAGAAACCCCAAATCTTTTCAGCTGCCAACATTTGTGTATTTTTAAAAGAGCATTTCTACCCATGTTTTGCAAGTGGTATATGTCACATCCAAGCAGACCCTGGACATGTCTTAGGTGTGATTATTGATAAAGAGTGAAATCTCCTCAGGCCATGGTGGCAATGCCTTCATCTTCCAGAGCCCAGGAGTTCTTTGATGACATTCTGTTTGACAAAGAGGCAGGGGGAAAAAGCGTCCCAGTCTTTTTTCTTTTGCTTTTTTCTTTGATATGATCAGTATGTAAAACCCCAGGCTTGAAAAGGACTTTGACATCTTTGTTAGTAAACAAACAGAGTGGTTATAATGCTTTTGACAAGAGGGTAGGGAGGACTGTGCTCTGGCAGGCTTTCTCCTTTTCTCCCGCTTCTCCTCCTCTAACTTGACAAGCGGATTGCAGAGGCCAGTGAAAACACTCGTGTGTCTTTCAGGTTGAGAGCATTTGTTAGGCATCTGTGAGGGTTGCTTTCTTGCTGTTGGGTGTCAAGTCACGCAATATGAAAAGAGGGAGTCTTCGACTGCTCAGCCATTCTTTCCCGTGAAAGGAGCACTGATGAGCTAGCCAGTGGCTCAATTAAAAACTGAAGGAAGCATTCACCGTGCGGGACACCAGCTTACTTTACTGACTGTGGTGTTATTAGTGAGACTGACAGGGGCAGCCGGGAGGGGCTGCAGTGGCTGAGAGGAAAGGGAGGCAGAGTTCTTGTTTCCTCTTGTTTTCTCACTGTTGCTGGCAAGTTGTTGATCTTGAAAATGAGCAACCTCCTCACAGCCTATTTTCCAGACTTTGTTAATATTTAAAATGATTTTGAGAGAAATGCACGAAATGAAACATGTCATAATATGTAAAGTCATACAGATTTCACAACTTACCTCCAGCCTACGCATTTTAGTTGTTCTATTCAGGGTTTACTGCTCAAAACCCCCAGGTCCTTAAACTTCTGCAACTGTTGCCTTTGGTTACTTCTTGGTGTTCTCAGGAAGTACCTTACACTTGCTCGTTAACAGATTCCATCACAGCTGAACACCACGGCACCCACCTTTTCGGCAGAGCCTTTGCCTCCTTAGTGGGACATCAGTGTCAGCCTCGTGTTCTGTCACTGCTTCCAGGCATTGGCATTGACTTACTCATGGGTCTGTCCTATCCAAAGTCAGGAGAATGTCTTTTTCTCCTTATTTTGAACCATACTTTTGTGCTGGGGACACAGTGGGCAGTTTGGCCCATGTTTCACAAAGCCCCTGTTGAAACCAGATTTGTCATCATTTCCCTTGGGACGGAGGCTCCTGATTCTTCCAAGACCCCCTTGGCTTTGCCCAATGGGTCTTTCAGCCACAGCAGTTGAGACTTGACAGAAAAAAATATGAAATTCCAGGCAATGAAAACCCAAATGAAAGGAGAACCAGAATCTTCTCGTACAGGCAGAACTCATTATTATGACTTGTCAATGTTACAAAGACATTATTAATAGTTGTCTTTGTAACATTTGAGGTTTCAGGATGGCAGAAGAGAACTGTAAATCTTGTCCTCTCAACCTAGGTCTGTTAGCCACTGCCTTGTAGTTTTTGGCCTCCTGTCAATTCAGACTTGAGAGAAGAGACCAGTGGTGACAAATATACATTTCCTCAGTTCACAGGAAATAGATACAAGACTGTTTAAAGAACATAGACAATCGGTAGCTTCCATGAGTCTGTTAGCTTTTGCTGCATAGCAAGCCAGCCTGAAATTAATGTCTTAACTAAAAAAGTATTTACTTATGGTTTTTTTGCAGGTCAACAACTTGGGTTGGCTCAGCAGGGAGGTTCTTCTAATCTTAGCTGGGTGCACACAGGTGTATGTGATCAGCTGCTGGGTTATCTGGGGACTGACTCATCTAGAATAACTTCTGCTGCCGTGGCTCATTTCTGCTCCAGGTGGTCTCTCATGCCCCAGTGAGCTTACCAGTGTTTTGTTTGTTTGTTTGTTTTGTTTTTTTCTCCCATGGTGTCTGGTTAGGATTCTAAAAGAAACTGAGGAAGTACACAAGACTTCCTGAGGCCTAGGCCTGGAATTGACACCTCATTACTTCTGCTGCATGCTATCGGCCAAAGCAGATCTGTAGTCTGGTACAAACACATGAGGAGGAGAAACTGGTTCAATTACTTTTATTTTATTATTATTATTAATTATTATTATTTTTTGGTGCAGTCTTGCTCTGTTGGCCAGGCTGGAGTGCAGTGGTGTGATCTCAGCTCACCTCAACCTCCATCTCCTGGGTTCAAGTGACCCTCCTGCCTCAGCCTCCCGAGTGGCTGGGATTACAGGCTAATTGTTTTGTATTTTTAGTAGAAACCAGGTTTTACCATGTTGGCCAGGCTGGTGTCAAACTACTGACCTCAAGAGATCCACCCACCTCGGCCTCCCAAAGTGCTGGGATTACAGGCGTGAGCCACCACGTCCAGCTGGTCCCATTCGTGATGGAAGAAAGTGCAAATTCAATTACAAAGCATGTGGATTCAGAGTGGAGTGAAAGATTATGTCATATTTGCATTTTACCCCAAGATATATCTAAATACAGATCCATATAATATTTCCGTGGATTTTTTTGTTGTTGTTGTTATAACAAACGATTCTCAAATTTTGTTGTTGTTTTATTTTATAAGTGTAGACCTGGTGCACTTCTTCTCTCCAAAAGTCCAGAGGATAATTTTGCCTAGACTTCATCTTCCAATTTGCTGTGTTATAGAGTGTGGAGATTATAGAGATAAGTTCAAAAATAAATAAGAGTATAAACAATGAGCAAAAGAGAGGGAAATGAGGAAAAGTATTACATATAAAAGTAAAAGTTATGGAATTTTCATGTCTTACCTGGGCAAAACTAGGAGGGGAGGAGAGTGCTCTCTTAATTTTGAAAAGGACGGCTCTGGAGAGCCTATTGAATTATACAGATATGAGGCCACTGTGATGTTTAATATTAGAATAATGTAAGAAAATGTGGTGTTATATATATATTGATTTTCATGCACAGTTCCTGGTTCATAACTCTCATAACCCTTGTTACAGTCTTTTGTTATAAAGTTGGGTGTGGTAGGTTTCAGGAGAAGGCCTCAGGAAATAGAATTTCTCTGACCTTCTCGAATCCTCCTTTCACCTGCCTCAAGGAATCAAATCTTCCCCACCTTTCTGATTGAAGGTTTTAAGACCAAGAGAAGGCCCTGCCCTTTACCCTGGTGGAAGCAATGCTGATGTCATGGAGCTTCCATAAAAACCAGTGACGACTGGGTTCAGGAAGCTTCCAGATAGCTGACCACATTGGAGGTTCCTGGAAGGTGGTGTGGCCACGGAGAGTATGGAAGTTCTGCTCCCCTCCCTCCATACCTTGCCCCACACATCTCTTCATCTGTAGCCTTTGCAATATCCTTTGTAATAAACTGATAGACATAAGTGTTTCCCTGAGTTCTGTGAGCCATTCCCGCAAATCAAACCCCAAAGATGGGGTTATGCGAATCCCAACTTGAAACCGGTTAGTCAGGAGTTCCGGAGGCCTGGACTTGTGACTGGTGTGTGTGTGTAGGGAGGCAGCCGTGGGGACTAAGTCCTCAACCTGTGGTATCTGGCCTATCACCTGGCAGATAGTGATGGACTTAAATTGGAGGCCACCCAGCTGGTGTCCATTGCGTACTGTGTGGGGAAAACCTCCCACACATTTAGTCGCAGAAGTCTTCTTCTGTGTTGATTGTAGTTGTCGTGGTGTGAACACAGAGAAAAAATGCTTTGAGAGTTTTCTGAAACAAAATATGAAGTTTTTTTTTTCATTCTATTATTGAAGGTATAATTGTAGAAATTTTAAAAAGTCATATTGGTTGTCCATATATGGAGGAAGGGGCCTAGGACTTGGGGGAGAAGAGAAGAAAAAAAGTCTTATTATTTTATGTGTTTGTTTATGAATTCTTTCAAATATTCATTCATCCATTCGATAGGTATTTATAGTGCCTCTCCTGTATGCCAGGCACTGTGTTAGGTTCTGAGGTTATAATAAGGTTCAGTCCCCCAGATATGATCCACACCTTCTTAGACCCTTTAGTTTTACCTCTATCCATGCTTGGGGGTGAAGAAAATTAGAGAACAGGTCATAGAAAGTTAAGTGTTTCAGAGAGAATCCCATGAGACGCTCGTGGGATAGAAGCCAGGGCAGGCTGTCACTCTAAAAGACAAACAGTGGCAGTCAGAAATAAACTGTAAAGTTCATCAGATTCCTCAACATCATAGACAACAAAATTGAATACACATGGATTGGATAATGACTCGAACTATTATAATTTTTACATTAAAGGAAAAGTGATGCAGCAAACTGGTAGTTATTCATTTACTTATTTACCTGTTTCTTTCCTCTTTACTGCCCCTCCCATCCAATTAGGAGACTTGGGACAATGTCTTTCAATTCTTTTGTTACACTATTCTAATGGTTAGCACATTGCATGGACAAAGTCTGTGTTAAAAATTGGTTTCTCTAGGAGCAAATAAATAAAAGAATTTAAAATCACCCAGGCTAAAGCTTTTGTTTAGCTACTAGATGTCTTTGGATATCAAGGGGTTTTAGGAATTCAGAGAAGAACACATGGTGAATTTGATCATTTGAAAACTGAGCAAGAATTTGAATATTGCAGTGAGAGGGATGGACACATAGTGGGGTTTTTTGAATATGCAGAGAAACTTCGTAGGCCATACACTTTTCCTAGAAAAATCTCTCTCTAACAACAACAGCTAGCATTTATTGCGCATTTACATTGCAGAAGTCACTATCCTAAATATTTTACCTGAATTAACTCATTTAATCCTCCTGCACATCACAGTCTGGGTTTTGTTCTATTATTATTCCCATTTCATAGATGAGAAGACTGAGGTATGGGAAGTAGTATAGCTTGCTGAATATAACACAGTTAGCATGCACCACAGCTGAGGTTAGTGTGAAGAGCCCACACTCTCAACCACCACATATTGCTGCCTCCTTAAACAATACAGTGTGAACCACGGTGGACAAAGTTTCTCATATTGTATCATCGAGCACAAGAAGTCACAAATACTTCTTGAGGAAGGAAGAGTCCAAGGAGGTAGATCCTCTTAACCCTGAAAATCCTTTTCATAATTATTCTAGTTTATGACCTGAATGTTTGTGTCCCTCTAAAATTCATATGTTGAAATTCTAACCCCCAAGGTGATGGTATTAAGAGGTGGGAAATTTGGGAGGCTATTAGGTCCTGGGGGCAGAGCCTTCATGCTTGGGTTTAGTGCTCTTGTAAAAGAGACCCCAGAGAGCTGCCTTTTCTTTCCCACCATGTGAGGACCTAATGAGAAGGTGCTGTCTATGAGCAAGCAAGCCCTCACCAGACCCACCAAATGCCAAATCTGCTGGTTTATTGATCTTGGACTTCTCAGGCTCCAGAATTGTGAGAAATAAATTTCTGCTGTTTATAAGTTACCCAGTTCATGGTATTTTGTTATAGCAGTCCCAACTGCCTAAGACATAGAGAAAAACAGACTTGATTTTACAAAGATTGACTAGGAGGAATCAAAATATAAATTGACACTACACTGAAAAGACTAGAATTTATAGAATTCTTGGTGGAATCCAGATATTGATTTAAAAGCTGTACGCTGGTTCCTTGGGGGAGAAGGAATGAGAGGAAAAGAAATAAGAAGGGATGTTCAGTGGCCTCTGGTTTGAAATAAGGAATTAGTTTATTATTCCTGTTGGGTTACTCCAGGTCTCTTTGCATCCGATGGTCCTAAATGGCTCCCATGCATATGCTGGGGGATCTGCATTTGGGCATTCATGTGCATTTTTAGAGTGTCGGAGGCTATATTTATTTCTATTTTTAGTTATTTATTTTTTCCTGGGAAGTAGATGGTACACATTATTTTTTTTTTTTTTTCCTCTGGATTTTATGAATTTGGGCTGATACATCAGTTCAGATGTTATCTTCAGAACATAAGCCCTAAGATGATGAATCATGATGTCGTATTACAAGGTAGCAATAATTTGATCAACTGCTTACAGTTGATTTCTCAGAAGGTGGCCTCTTTGTCTCTCAAGAAAATGACAAAGCTTTGGATGAGGTTTCATTTCAGGGGCTTGGAGGTAACTTGGAGTCTAAGGCGAAGTGGCAGGAATGTTTTAAGCTAAGACTCAAGTAAGAGATTCCCCTGAGGCAGATGCTGATGCTTTGTTTAACAAAGCAAACTATGAGTCCAAATTATTCATTACCATATTCATAAGTAATCTATTTAGTAAGACGGTCTGAAGATAATAATAAAAACAAATATTGAATAAAGCTCTTTCCATGTCAACCTTTCCAGCACAAACAGTATGTCAGCTCATTGTTAGTCCGGAATAAACGATTTAAAATTAATGAGTATATCTCCTTATTGCTAGGTGAGATGCTTAGTAATTGGAAATATGTAGCCAGACTTCCCATGAAAGCTGTCTTACAAAAAAAATGCTGGGTAAAGAAAAAGAGTTTATATTGATTTTTAATGGATTTGAGTATTCAAAATTTATTGTGTGTGGTTCTCTTACTTAAATGTAATAATAATTTGTATTTAAATGAAAGGAATTATCAACAATATTTGCCAGTATTTCTCTAATCCTTTCTTACTTCTTTCCATTCTTTGTGGTTTATATCTGCCTTTGTTAATGATATTGCAACTAGAGTCTGAAGGCAAGTTGCAAGCAGTTATCTGGTTGCACTTGCTTTTATATTCTCTTGATTTTATACCCTCCTTTGTGTTTCACATTATTTGAGTAATTATTGTGCATAGCCTACTGCCATTTATAGCTATTCAAGAAGAAATATAAATCTGTTCCATTTTTGTATCCTGATTACTAACAGTGTTTTAACAAGGTAGTAAAGTTCTTGATCCTGACATGTTAACGCAGTGAAAGACTATTTGCTCGCCTTGTAATCATCTCAGAAAAAGCTGAACTTGTATCTCCTTGGGAAGGAATGAATAGAAATATTTGATTTATTCTTCTCTTATGATCTTCATTTTATAAAATTGGGAGAAAATGATGATGTGATAAGGAGGGAATCTCTGCAGTCATAAGAACAAATCTTTATGAGGAAAAGTGAATTGTTGTCTTTGCTCTTGAAAGTACAAAGTGGAAAGGGGTTCAGTAGGCTGCTGAAAGAGGGCCAAGAAACCTCTGTTGGGGAAAGAGAAAAG